GATTAAAATCTCAAACTCATAAGTTTCAAAACATGATTGCACCTCTGCATATTGGTCAATAAAAACAAATAAAAATCATTTGAGATCTGGATTGAAAGTCCAATACGAGAAAATGCTAAGTAAATTTCTAACATCTATCTAAGCTTTAATAAGCAGAATTATCTAATATATTTGTGGGTGGAGATAGCAAGTGGAACAACTCCGCTCAAGCTGCCCTGAACCACGTAATTAAAAAGAATATGATTGGAAAATCATCATTGCACTCGTAAGTAGCCATCTAAACTTTACACCAAATCTCTGTTACACACTTTCTGAGGACGAATATCATATTACACACGAAACCTTTCAAAATTGTGTTTAGTACACACTACTTTTTTCTTGACCAATTTCTCAGAATATGTGTAGTGTCACGCACCAATAACATCATGCCACGTGTTAATAATTTTTTTAAATAAAAAAATGCTTAAATTTATGTTGACCAGTTTCTCTTTCATAGTCTCTTTCTCTTCCAGAAAGAACCAGAAGCACCACACCATACTTCAATTCTTCTCTTTATATGAAGACTCACTTTCTTCATCTTTGTTCTTATTTACCACTATTTCTCCTTACTCTAAAAATTTATTACCATTTTTTGGTTTCTAGGTTTTGTTTGCTATAGAAATATCATTTTCACCAATGGGTGTTGCCACAGTAACAGTGGCCGGAAAATAGAGGTCGCCATCGTTTGCAATTTTAACAAAACGAGACCAGATCTGAACGAAGAACCACCAACTTGTCGGAAAGATCTGAGAGCTTTACCTCGTCAGAGAAAATCTAACCTCGTCGGCCATGAACTGATAGTGAAAGTAACAACCTCGCAACAGAGATCTCGACGTTGCTTGAGGTCGCCGCCGGCATTATGAGTTATGATCGAGATTTACTTAAAGGAGATGAAAAGGGGAGGAGATGGGAGGCGTGGGAGAGAAAATGGTGTTGTGGTTGTCGCCGGATGCCCAAGACGGTAGGGGGCTCCAAATGGGGAAGAAGGCCTGGACATCTTTATCTTTTCTTTTAACTAATAATTTAAGAAAAATAAAGAGAACAAATAAGATTTGGACACATGTGTGTATATAAGGATTTGGACAGATAATGCATAGGTTTTACGCACTCAGTGTCTTTTGTTAAACACACGCGTGCCATCTGGCAAAAGTAGTGTGTAGTATACACAATTTTAAAAGGTTGCGTGTGTAAATAGATATTCGTCCTCAGAAAGTATGTAACAGGGATTTGGTGTATAGTTCAGGTGGCTACTTATGTATTTTGCCTTCTCTTAATTCTAGAATGTTCCAATTGATTGAGGGAAAAAAGAGAAAGCAATGTAAGGATATAGTTACCACATTTGTCACACAGTTGGATTTATAGCGTGATTTATAGACAAACAAATCGATTTAATCCCAAAATAAAAAAAATTAAATAAAAATATACGATTTACTTGAATTCGAGATAAAATAGCAGACAACTTGGTTTCGGGAGCAAGGTTTCCGAAGACAGCAACAAGAATATTATTAGACAGAAAATAAAGTACTATTTAGCTTGGAATAATGTGTAGCATAAGTTTGTCAGAATTTTCGTGTCCTACAATGGATGTTGAAGTCACTACTTATGGCTAAACCTAGGGAACAAGATCCTAGGATCAAGCCCCTCTAAAATGACAATAATAGGGGGTCATTGATGAATATGTAATGGCAAGCAATGAATGTCAAATTTCTCTGTAACTGATAGAAACTGAGGGTCCACCAAACTATATAGAAAACCTAGTTCTTTATTAGTTCCCACAGAACACACACACAGAGAGTAGTAAGTAGATAACACAATGGAGTTTTACGTGGAAAACTCCCAGCTCGCGAGATTAAAAACCATGACCTACACTCGTAGGATTTTAACTTCACTACTGAGCAAACTTCAGATTACAAACTATTGTAACCTAGGAATTAAACTCTTAATCCATCACCCACTTATAATAACTTTATTACAAGCCCCTTTGTAGTAACTTTATTACAAGTTCCTTTGTAATAACTCTATTACAAAGCTTACAACTCGACTAACTCTAGTCAAGACACAAACACAAAGTTTATGGTTTACAAAAGGTTTCCTACACAATGCTTCCAACTAAGCTAAGCAGGAATTACAAGTAAATCTCTTTAACAAAGGTACAACACAACTAAGGACATATAATGTCTCATTGCAGGAAACTGGTCCTTTGTTATGTTGTTCTCTATTCTTGAAGCTCCTGAAAGTCACTTGCAAGATCACCACACACGTGAGAGAAAATTTGATTAATTCTGAAATGTGCAAGTGTGTTGTATTTCCTTTGCTTCATGTTAATATTACCCATGTGATGTCACTTGGATGATGCACACATATTTGATACAAAGGCATTCCCCGTAAAGTGACTGCTGCATTGTTTGCCTTGTTGCGTGTGTGCAGAAGAACAGTTACAGCAACTTTACAACTGTGGGGAGTTGACATGGTACAGTCAGCAAGGGAACTGTTGTCCATCTGTTCCCTCTATCGTTTCTTTGACTCTGAATTGTTGAAACATGTCCTCGACTTAAGACTTGTTGTTCTTTAGCACTTTGAGGATATGGAACAGGTTCCCCATCTGGTTCTTATTATTAAGTTTGTTAGATCATCAAAACATAATAGTACATGTAACCTATCAGTAACGGACGCGTATTCAATACTGAGGAATATTCTTCATTGAATTTCATCTGGCGGCAAATATTCGTTTGCCCTCGTTAACAATGTTCCCTTCGGGGTTTATCCGATGCCAACCAAAGTTGTTGCTCTCGGTCTTCGTTTCCACTCGCTTCGATTTCCGTCTATCCTTAATTTTACGTGTCACTCTATCAATTGAGTATTTAATGTGAACCGATTTTACTTTATACAGTAATCATTTGGTCCAAAACCTAATAGAGAAGAAGATTATATGGACTAATTCTGTAATTGGCATATAAGAAAGCTACCTCAAAGAATATTTGTTAATTTCAAAAAAAAAAAAAAGGTAAAAAGATATAAAAAAAAAAAGAAAAAAAAAAGAAAGAAAGACAAGATCACACGCAACCGCTTTTTGTACCTTTTAGGGGAAACCAAAATTGGTTTAAGTCAGTCGAATAGCAAAGGATGTTGATCGAGGAAGGAGACGTGTATCAAGATGTTGGATAAAGCTAACTGCAGCAAAAAAAAAAAAAAAGTGTCGCATTTTGTAAAAAGGGACTTTTCTTTGGTTAATTTGACAAGCACTGATGATGGTTTGTTTGGGAGTGACAGTGTATGTTGGATAAATAATGCTATCTTTCCCCGAAATTTCACGCCTTTGGTTGGTTGGTTTTGTGAACATTTGAAACATCTCTCGATCTGCACTATCAATCAATAATTAGATGCACCACAAATCACACACGATATCATTCTCATTTGTATCAGAATCAACGAGTTTCAAATAGTACGATTTATTAAAGAGATATAATTATTAAATATACTCCCCCCATTTCTTGTTATGTAACAAGAAAGAATCCGTATATGATAGGTCAAAATAACGTCTTCGTCAAACTTTTAAAGTTAGCTTATTTTGAAAAATATTTTTAAAAAAAGTATATTTTTGGTGATAAATAATTTATATTTGACTAATTTATTTAAAAAACACTTTTGAGCTGCAATTAAAAATTTTAAAAAGTGATTTCTCAAAAATACTTTTCAAAAAAATACTTTCGGGAAGAAACCATTTTTTTGTTTCTCAACAACTACTTCTACTTCTACTCAAAAATATTTTTTTCCTTTTAAAAGCTAAAAAAAATACTTTTAGTAAAAAAAAAGTTTGACGAAAAGGAAACTTGGCCAAACCAAACATTCTATAACTCTCCAAATAGTGATATCGCCATATTAATTGAATTATGAGGGAGTATGTGATTTTATTCCTAAATAATTGAAAAAGAAAAAGTCCTAAATAATTAGTGCGGTCGCATTCACTATTGAATTTTTATTTCACTTCAGAATGATTCTTACATTATTACTTACAATATAACAATTTTTTCATTATTATTTACTATATAAAAAATCAATACATTATAATTCTTGTATGATTAATATATGAACCAAAATGATCCCTAATTGATAGAGTTCATTGTTAAGGCTTTATGGCTAGCAGTCTAGCTTAACCAGCTAGACATTTGGTACTCTGTACTATATTTTCCCGGTAGAAAAAGCATTTATCTTGAGTTATGCGTTCGGTCTGCATAATAGTACTAGCAAAACTTTAGTGGTCGGACAACGTAAAACTGACTTTATGTGGGAGAATATAAACATGTACAGTACAGCCGGTAATTAAAGTTACCACTTCGAGTAGAATTTAAAACTAAAAGTGATTGCATTTGCTGATTTGCTATAGTTATTGGAATTATAAAATGTACTCCCTCTTCTCCATTTTAATTGTTAATCTTTGACTACTATATCCTTATTTATTTATCATAATTAGACTTTTTAAGCAATGTAATTAATATTTTTATTTTCAACAACAACAACAATAATAAAAAACTCAGTATATTCTCACATGTGGGGTTTGGGGAGGGTAGTATGTAAATACACCTTGCCCCTACCTAATGAAAGTAGAAATGTTGTTTCCAATAGACAATATTTTTATTTTCAAGAAGAATTCATGCTATAAATTAATTAATTACTTTTATTTTTTAAAATAAGAAATATTTTGAACTAATCATTTTTACTAATGGGAAGGAGTAATGAAAAAGTCCAAATTTAATGTTGAACTTTGTGAAATAATCCAAATTTATTCTAGTACCTCTGCTGTCATAAATTAGTCCAACTATACCTTTATTACTAACGGCGTCAAATTTGTAAACATGCCATTATTTTTAGTTGTAAATAAATACTATAGGTGCCCAAAGGTGTAGTTAAATTCTTTATATATAAAGGGGATAGGTAGCTTGGTGTGTGTAGCTAGAGAGAGACAATCCGTGCTCATTTCACTATCTAGAGAGAGAGAGAGAGAGAGATGGGGAATTGCCAAACTATTGATAATGCAGATTTGCTCATACAACACCCCAATGGTAAAGTGGAAAAGCTTTATTCTGCAGTCACTGCTACCCAAATTATGAAGATGAATCCTGGCCATTATGTTGCTCTTCTTCTCACCACCACCACCACTATGTCCCCACCCTCAAACAAAACAACTACCAACACTAATATTAGCCCAATACGAATTACGCGAATAAAGCTTCTCAAGCCAACTGATACACTTGTTCTTGGTCATATTTACAGACTAGTTACTGCTCAAGGTTGGTCATTTTCTAGGTTAACTACTCAATTATCTTGGTTTTTGATGTGTTATGTAGTTACACCTTTTTCTTGATTATACACAGAGGTAATGAAAGGATTGTGTGCCAAGAAGTATGCAAAGCAGAAACAGTTTGAATATTCAGAGGACAAAATAACACAGACATTACATTCTAAGACAGCTGTTCATCAGGACAAGGTGAATATTAATCTTCCAAATTTCACAAACTTAATTTCCTTTGTATTTCAAAGAAAGAACATGTTTGTTTACTTCAAATAGCTGATTAAATTTTCAGGTAATTAAACACGAAAAACATCGAAAGTCTATAGGTGCAAAATCAAGAGCCTGGCATCCTTCGTTGCAGAGCATATCTGAGGCTGCAGACTGATTTGTGATGCTTCTATCTTATGATTAAATTGTTTCTCTTGGAGAAAAAGTCCATGGAATTGGTGGTTTCTCAAATTCAAGTTAAGAGTAGCTTGTGCGGAATTAGTCACATGTATAGTAAAGGAAAAACGAGAAAAAAGATCTCCTACATTTTTACTTTTCGATTGTTTGGAGGCACTTACTCAATTGAAATTACTTATAAGCACCAAAGTTTGTTTAATTCAAAAACTAATAAGATAATGGATATATCTAATGGAATGGATCATTCGAACAGAGTAATGATTCTCCTACCATGTGCTGTTGATCAACCAATATGTTACTTTAAGAGCGAAATAACAGTTGCTTTCTCTTTTTTTAATGAACCTTGCAATTGGTTTGGGTTGGGGTTGGGGTTGGGGGNAGTGACTTAACTCGGCTCACAACTAAAATCCGAGATCGTTGAATGAGCATGTCAATTGGCTTGGTCTAATCTAAAATCAAATTAATCCATAGATTGTTTACCGTTCACTTGTACAAACTCTATACTCTATAGCTCTTATTGCTTTACTGTTAGAGAAGACGTATCATAAGGTTTTCGTTTGGCGAGTTGTTACTTTGAGAAAGAAAAGAAGAATATTCAACAATCTATCACTGCACTTGTCACTCTTCTGTAGAAATTGTCTCACATTTAACGTAAATAATACGTAGTAGGGTCCGAAATTGAAATGATGCCTTTTTGGGCATAAAATACCTTTATACAGTTTAAAAAAAGTTGCATTTCTAACTAAAAACGCAGTATAATACTGCATTTTCCTATAAAATTGGGCCCACCAATATAAGAGTTCTGCAGGACTGCGGAGAATATTTGTTTTTTAGTTTAAAACGTATTATAATACTATATTTTACACTGAAACATAGTATTATACTGCATTTTACACTAATTTTAGGACTCACCAATAAGTGTTCTGCGGATAACTAACATAACAATAATTCAAATACATAAAATGTGGTATTATACTGCGTTTTACATAAAAAAATTCAGCACCCCAAGCTCGAACTTGTCTAATTTAAAGGCGTTTGATTTTTATGAAAATCCATTCAAAACTTTCTTTCAAATTTCTGTTCATACTTCTCTTTTCTTCTTATCAAACATTTTTTTTGTAATGTTTGAAGAGCCAAAAATAAGGGTTTCATTATATTGGGGAGTGAGGTTGTAATGGAGAATAACTCTGTGAGGTATAGCTCACCTCCACAGTGTCATATTAAATTGCCGTTTACAGTGGAGTACGATAAATTGGTATCGTTGTTACGTAAAAAAATGAGTGTGAGGAAACGTTCGGTGAACCTTAAAGTAACCGGTAGATTTCCGTATTCAGTGACTCCGCAAGGGTTTGCTTATTATTCTGAGTTTAACATCGAAGATGATGAAACTCTTAGAGATTTTTTGCGGATTTCGGATGAAAACAGGGAATTTATTGTAATAAAATTGTTGAAAATGTATGTCAAGGTTGAAGACGTTCCCAATAATGAGGGTGTGCATAGTAGGGATAACCCCCACTCATCGGGTGGTTATTCTGGAGCAGTTTTTGCCGGACAGATTGCTGATGAAAGAGCTTGCCTTGATTTAACCTTGTCACCACCGGCGAATGAGCAGCCACAAAATAATTTTTTGACTTTATATAATCCACAAGATGCCTGGTAAACTTCAATTTTTCTACGCTTTAGCGATGTTTATTTTATGTTTTAATTGGATTTGTATTAACACTCATATTTTTCATAGGGGGTACCGTCCGGATATGAATTTTACAAGTTATGACATCGCCCCTAGTTGGAATATGCGTAGTTCTGGCATATTGGACCACGGTGGTCCATCCGGGAGCCATCACCAACAAGAAAATATTCATCATGGAACGTCAACACAGTACGACTTGTAAGTAAAGTGATATAGCTATATGTAAAGTATTTATCTAGTTGGGTAGCTTATCATTTTGTTCTTTTTGTGCAGTAAAAACGAGCAACTTGATGTTCCTGACCTCACACAGTTGCCCATAGACGACGTACTGACTAGTGATTTGGCATATGCGCAGAGTCAGGAAGATGATAGTGATTATGACAAAAACGACGATGAGTCTGGAGATGACACACCCTTCCATGATGAGGATGATGACAAGGAGTAAATAGATGTGGAACCTGAGCTGACGAGGGAGCATGCTCCTCCATCTCCCGTTAGACCAAGAGTGTACGAGTCTCGCGTGTCCTTTCATGAGCGGAATATTCCCTACCTTGATAATTTTCCAAGTATGCTGGACGTGGATGCCCTCAAAAGGGATGATGATGAATTTCGGTCAGCTATGTGGGATGATTCTAGACCAACGGTGCTTGCAAAGGGCATGTATTTCCCTGATAAAGCTTGCATAATCAGGGCTGTAAAAATTTACAGCGTAAGAGAGTGCCGTGAGATGACGGTAAAGGAGTCAACTACGAAAGTATACAAGGTTGTATGCCGTTGAGACTTTATAGGTTATCACTGGATGTTGCATGCCAGCAAGAAGAAATCAGGTTTGTGGAAAGTGGGTAAATGTATTAGCACCCACAGATATGAAATGGACACTGTAAGCACGTGATTTTTGACCCTCCCCGAGGATTTTCACATTTTTTTAGCATAAATATGTAATTGGGTCTAATATAGCCATTTTAACTATTTTTACTTTATTTCGTTGCAAAAAGAAAAAATCACAAAAAATATATATATAAATTTTAGTTTATGTATTTCTCATAAACTTGAAAAAATACAAAAATTGCACTTTATTTTTGTACTTTATATAATTTTGAAAATAACCAAAAAAATATAGTTCTATTAATGTTTTGTAGTCATTTTAATTTCTTAAAAATACAAAAATATTACTTTATATTTTATCCTTATTTAAAAACGAAAATTACAAAAAAAATAGTTTTATTAATGCTTTGTAGCTATTTTAAATCTTGAAAAATATATTAAAAAATATATAGTTTTGTTTAAATATTAGTCTTATTTTTTGTAGTTATTTTGCTTACATAGGATTAGTCGAACAACGTTGTGTTCTTAATCGGGTCCGGGCAAAAGAATAATATTCGGGTTCAAATTACCCGCTTTTAGGCCTAATTTCCTCATTTTTTTGGGCAAACCCATTACAAAACACGGATGAAACATTTTGAAAGGGAGGATTTTGGAAAAATTTTGAACGGGCACTGTAGCCTCGTCTTCCTCCTTTGAAAGAACCA